TCCTGGCACGCTGCGTGGAAGAGATCGAACATCTGAAAACCACATATGGTCTGATTAAAAACGCCATTTATAGCCAAGGGAGAGCTGAGGACACACACGCTTGAAGCATGTATGAACCTGACTAGATGTGACATGTGACAGGATTCAGCTGTGTTTGTTTGTCTGAGATATGAAATCGAAGATGTGGTACAGAGTGCAGGATATGTAGACTAATCACTGCAGTGTTGTGAACACTTTCAACTTATCTCACATCAACAAGCTCTAACCTTCCACTATAATGTCTGAACTTGAAGTCAGTGCCGTGGTGAAGGGAGATGAGCACCACAGTAGTTCTCTCAGCTGAATGACAGATGAAGATACAGTAGGTAGAGACAGAGAGAGGGAATCGGACACATGATCTGTCTCTCCCTCTTTCTCTTACCCTCTCTGAGACCATCACAATGTGAACATCCCAATCAAAATTGACCTGAGCAGGATGTTACTCTTTATGAATGAACTTTCACCACAACTGCAGTCGGTTTGCTGCTCGGACTTGCAATAAAAATGCAAGCGAGATTTCTTTTAAAAATCCCAGTGGAGCAAGCTTTTGCTTTTTTGGGGTGGGGGTAACGTTGGAGGTAGACATGTGCACGGCCTTGCACCTCACAGACACAGTGTCACTCATATGCTCGATGGCCCGGCGAGTAGGATGAAATACACCCTGCAGAGACTTTATGATCTGATGAGTTCTAGGGCAATGGGGCTGGGTCAACATCTGATTTAATCGCAATTCACATGTGAGTGCTTCAATATGGATTCTTCAAATCCAAGTAAACACAAACAGTGCAGACTTTCAGTTTGTCCTGCCTGTGCTCAAAGATGGCTTTTTAATATTCTTGCTCAAATGTATTCCACATGTTCAGTAGGCCTAGAAAAATACAGATGCATCATGTTTTAGCAGTTTTACATTTGCCATGGAAAATAAATCTTTGGTGCGACATTTTATAACCGGGAAATGTGTTTTAAATTTAACCTACAATGGACACTTTACACAACTTCCTATTCAAGAAAAGAACAGCAGTGCTCACTTGCTGAATGCACAAGAAACTACAGTTCCCAGGTTAAATACCGAGAAGCTCTTTACACAACACCGGCTGGTGTCTGGTGTAAATAAGCCATCAAGGCGCAAATCAAATTGAATCGAACAAAAAGTAATACTTTCTGGATTTTGTGAATCAAACTCAAATCAAATTGAGACATCATATTAGGCCAACAGGGCAAGCTCTTATTTTGAAGTTCTATCTAATTATCCACCTACCAACTATTCTTGAGAATACTGTTCATTCTCTGTGAAATGTATTTAAACCTCCATGGACAAAAAAAAGAAACATCCGCCCACAAGTAACATACCAATAATGCAAAGTCTATAAGAAGCCATTTCACCGACTACAATACAATTAACACCACAGTATGACTTGACTCCTGAAAAAAAAACTAGAACAGCTAATTTCTCCACAGTATAAGAAATCATAAATTACAGTTAAGGAATTTTGTGTGTCATTATTTGATTGGCTCCACTACAAATGTTTTAAGGTGGAACATGTACATTAAGTCATCAGAAACAGTGCTGACTTACAGGTTTTCATCACAGTAGACACAACACCTTTTGCTATTGTTTATTTTTTTGTCAAAAATAGTTTTTTTTTCTTCCACTCCATTTTGTATGAGAGACTCCATATCTGTTGATATATATTTGGCACTTCCCCTCCACTCCTATTGTTCCACTGTAATTTCTGAATCAGGATATGTTTTGTTCATTTTCATTTAATAGCTTATTTCTGAAATCCTGTAATCGTACTTGTTTTCTCCCCATGGAGGAGCCAACCTGTGGCCTTGTCGCTGTTTTATGCAGTAGATGCTTGACAAAGGTCTATGATAGAAACATTGCATTTTCAAGCCTGTGCTGACAGATTACAGGAAATACATTATAAACTATGTGCTTGTGATTATCAAATTACTATTATTATTATAAATAGCCCAAAATGCGCCACATTTTTAAACCTTAGGACTGGAAGGATGAGAAACACTTTTAATTACATTATGCGTTACTGTAACACGTTAATCATTGAAGAATTAGTGCATGGTACAGTGTGTTTCAGTTCTATTTTAGGATTAACAAAACATTGTCATACATGGTGACCATTTATTTAAGATCCTTTTGGAAGCTAAAGAGACCAAAATAAACTAACT